ATGATTAATTAAAATTTTGAATAATCAATTAATCGCACAGCCCTAATGTACATACTGACACTGCCGGCAGAATTGATAGACTCGTCGTACTTTTAAGAATTTTGTATACATTTATTTAGTTTATTTTATGTTTAATATTTTTTATAAAAGCCTAGGTAGTTATGCATCATATAAATCGGTATTTTCTAGCCACTTGAAACTTGCACTTTATTATACTAAAATTGAATGGGCTACAAAACTGCATTCTGAGTAAAAAGTTTAAAAATTTGGTGAAAATTTTTGTATATTTTTTGAAAAGGGGATTTATATGGTGTTTGGCGTATAGCTGGCCAGGCTTTTATAAAAAAATATTAAACATAAAATAAACCATGGAAAAACTCTTCAAGGTAAGGCGAGTCTATTATTTCTGCCGCCACTGTATATATGTATGTAGGTAAATACCTCTCCGTTCGCCATAACAATATCTACCACGCCTTCTTGGATGAAGTACATTTTTGTTCCAATTGTACCTTCTTTTATAATAATATCACCTGTGGACAAATATGAAAAAAATGTTATATAAAATAAGGCTTATTAGATAAAACCAGCTATCTTACCGGGCTGAAAAACTTCATATTTCAGTTTCGTTACGACGTCAGAAACAAAATTTGAATCAGCATTAGCAAAAAAAGGCACGGACGCAACGAGAGATCTGGGGATGGCAAAAAATCATACATTTATAAAGTATTAATACTTTTGGAGAAAAACGAACTTAATAATAAAATATTGTTATTAGTCATGGTACAATAATTACAGGTATTGTCTTCCCAGAGAGCGCATATTCCGATCAGCCTTATTTAAAAAATATCATTGTTGCCCACACTAAAACGTTTACTGCTAGGGAAAAGGGATATTTCCATACCCCATATACCATATATGTACACTAGACTGCATCACCAAAAAATGTTGCGGTTTTTCCACCCGGATTACAAAATGTATTATATTTTAAGACGTCCACCAAAATATTTCGGAAAAATATTAAGATTTAAGTGAGCTGGGCCGATTTGAAGATACCTCCAAAAATGTAGTTTTTTTTATGAATAAAAATTGTTTCTTAAAGAACTTTTTGAAAAAAGTCCGCTCAGATGACAAAACAGATTAAGCTTAAAATATCTGCATAAAAATATTTAAAAATCTTTTGAACGGAATCGTAAGAATGAGATTTTTGATGCTGGGCCAAAACTATTCTGATTTAGACTTACAGGGTGTCAGTTGAAAGGTATTTTCACACTGTTTTTATTTCTGTCGAAAAAAAGTCATTCGTGTCCCAATATTTTTTTTTTTAAATACCAACACATCTTAATTCAACTTTGAATGAAGTTCCTTCATCCTACCTTTCTCTTTCATCCTTTGAATGAGTTTATTAGTAAAGAAATAAAAAGGTAGAGAAAATACCTTTCCAATGACACTCTTAAGTCTAAATCGGAAGAGTTTAGGTTCAGTTATTCAAGTTTTTCTTCATCATTACGATTCTTGTGCTTGCCACATAAAAGCAAAAAGTTGAAAATTATTGAAATCGGACTAAAATTACGGCCGCTTTTCATATAACGGTAAATTTCAGAAATGCTTGAAACTTCAATATTTCGAAATTGAAGGATGCTAATTTACTCAAAATTGATACACCCCGGCTTATCATCTAGCGGTAGGTTTCGGAAAGGTGAAAAAACATATATTTAATACTTGCGCCGGGTATTTAATGTTCGGCTCAGCCCGAACTTAGACTTTCTTACTTGTTTTTATTTTTATTTTTCTGCAAATTTTTTAAGCTTAAACCGTTTTGTCATTTCAGGGGACTTTTTCAAAAAAAATCTTTAAGAAACTATTTTTATTCATAAAAAACTCCATTTTTGGAGGTATTTTCAAATCGGTCCAGCTTACTTAAATCTTAATACTTTTCCGAAATATTTTGGTGGAAATCTTAAAATATAATATATTTTATAATTCCAATGGAAAAATATTACCGATTTTTTTTGTAAGGGGAGTGATGCAGTCTAATGTACACGTATTTTTTTAAACAAGTCATCTTGCAGAGAACTTATTTAATTTGCAAAAGCCGAAAAAAAACATTCGTTTGTAAATAAATAAAAAAATTTTTATGGCTCACTTCATTTCAAAAGTATTTTCTTTTATTTTGAAAAATTATAAAAATTAAATTGACCGAAAGCAAAAAGCAAAGCCAAATAAAAGTAAAAGAATCAACATTGAACTGCGTCAAAATGAAAATAAAAACTTGTTATTTTTGTAGTTTTATGACGTATTTATCAAATATACGAGGGTTGCTATTTATATTTTTGCCCTAACAATGGAAAAATGAACATTGGTGCCTTAACCCTGGAAGTGCTTCGCTTTTATGACCCTGGCTATCGAAACGACTACACCAACTTTAAATTTAAATAACAAACAAAATAATTAAGAAGGAAAATACATATTATTATTTTTAGTTATTTATATTTTTTAAACACATTTAAAAAATATTAAATACATATTATTTTCTCTGTTACATATAATAAACAAAAATATAAAGTATTGTTCACTCAAAATCGGTACGCATAAAATGGGTTATATCTTTTTAACAGGTTTCAGAAAATAATATTTAATATATTAAAATAAGGGGAAGAATTCCGCTATAGATAGATGTTAGCGAAAGTTCATATTTTGCTTGGATAAACAAATAACAGACAATTTCTTTGATAATGATACAATTTTTCTGAACACCCGTTCTAGAGACTTTAGTAAGTCAACTTGTTCCACTAAACTATCTTTAGTTTATGTTTTTTCATAGTTCGCGCATCTCTACTTATTTTGTTTTGAATAAATAACGTGTATTTTTCGATTTGACGTAAATAGGACATATTCGTAAATTGATGAGTTCCAGAACTTTATTCATATCTTTGGCTTCAAACCGATTCAAAGTTACCTGTGAATAATTAATTTTCATTAAAACCAACCAAAACTTTACGGAAGGTCTAAAGTAAATGATACAATGGCTTAACAGTTTGTGCAAGTGCTCCTTCCAGCATATTTCTGGGATCATATGAGCCATTGTGGAGTCTGATCGAGTTTTAATGAGACTGTTTCGATTTCATTTCATATCCCTTTGACAACTTGTAAACTTCTATAGATTTAGTTTTAAGAGGATATCACCCTGTGTCTTTTTAGCTTAAAACTTTTAACGTGGGAGTTGACCGAAGTCAAGTTTTAAACATGTTTTTTAGCCATTACTAAAAAATACCACATTTGGTGTGAACATTGGGGTTAAGTAAACGTGTGAGGATTTTCTTATAAAATTAATTTAATCTAACAGAATTATATGTTTATATTATAACTCGATAAGGTTTAAGTCTTGCCATAGCTTCCATTCGCTGAACTGTGGATAATCGTTTTCCAATTCTCTCGCGCGATCTTCTTCTGATAAGCCGATTTTTTTTTATAATTGAGGTAAAGAGCCTTATCCTTAAGCTGCACTATGGGAAATTTGAGCCCATTTTGTGGCCAAAAGTCAATTTCTTGACTTGCTTGAAATAAATTTTTTTATGTCTTATCTTACAGAGAATATTTCAGAGTAAAAAACTGTACACTCTGTTTTTCAATAAATTGACTTATCGTTGATTTGGTAACCCTCAAACAGATAGTTTCGAAATTCTCTGTAAACGAAAAATGTGCAGCTTGATTTTGTGCCACATTCAAATACGTTTATCTCGTAATATATTTGCTGGTTTTCAAAAGTGAAAAGTGGAAAGAAAGAGTGACGGTTAGCAGAATACCAATATTTACCAATTAAAACTTGTATTATAGTTTAAAGGTTGTGCCAAAGAAGCGTCCGCATTTAAGTGACTTTAAAGTGAAATTGTACGATTAAAAAAAAAGTTGATTTAGTGTTTTAGAAAAATGTTTAAAAACGTTTCAAAAAAACTCATCATACATCGGTAGAATAGTGCCTGATCTCTTATTTCCCCATAATCTTATACTGCGATTTTGTGCGATATTAAAGAAATTATAATTTTTCTTAGGTAACTACTTGGTACAAAATCATGAGTTTTATGAAATAATTCACGGTGTTATAATTTAAAAGTTGGAAAAAACCTGTCCGATAACAAAGAGAAAGTTTTGAACTTAAGGCCAGGGGAGGATTCGAGCCAATATTTAAAATAGAACGTACGAGGCATCTGCTTATTGGGTTGGGGTCCACTGGACCCCGTGTGACCATTACGCTATTTTTTGGAGGTGTGACCATTACGGGTTAATTTTTGCGCAGCAAGGCCCCTACTTCTAGTCCTACTACTGGGCCAAGTTTTAAATTGATATCTCAACTTTTAGAATTTTGGCCACAAAATAGGGTCAAATTTCCCATAGTGAGCTGGTGCGAAATGATTTTTTTTTGATGATTAGCTTACTCTGTTAGTTTAAGCAGAAGGAATCCATTCATTGATTTTTTGAGGAAAATCAGAAGTTTTTGGTATATTTAATTTTAATTTAATTTTTGATCTCGAGAGTGTCGGATTTACAACGAATTCGTTCAATTGCTGGAACGCGTACCGATTTTAAGTGAGCAATGCTTTAAATGACTTCAGAGAAAGGTGCAAAGCGAAACACGATTTTTGTTAGTTGAACCGACTAACGAAGCACGTCCAGGGTTAAAACGGTTTCAAAACATTCTGCGTAATGACCAATATACTTTTGCGTTCGATTTTTTACCACAAAGTGATATTGCACAAACGCAAACTTGCAGGAACTTGCACGTTTCCTTGTCAGCTGATGTCCATGGTTGCAATCCAAACAAAATACATTTTTGTAGAATTTTTAAAATTCTCTCAGATAGACAAAAAACTGGCCCTACATGATCTGATTGCGGTTGCATTCCGTTTACGAATAAAGTTTTCATGTCATCGAGTACCTTTCAAATCCTTGGAATTAAATAAATTAAATAAACAAGTATTTACTTACATTTTTCATTAGAAAAGTCGTTTTTTAAATGTTTTTAAAGATTGCAAATTCTTCCTGGAAAAATTCTTGCCTTCAAGATAACTGCCACTTTGCATTATCAATGTTTGAGTGATGGATAGTTTTTTTGGTCTGCACGAACGCGACTTGAACAAAAATCATGATAATTCGTACAAATTCGTACGGGAATATTTATATTGTGGATTTCTGTGAGTATAAACAAAATCACATCAAGCAAATGTAAAATACGCATATGACGCGACATTAATGTTTTTGATCTAGGCTCTAGGCGATTATCAGCATCTAATTACAACAACAAACTATAATATACGAAGAAAATTGTCGTACTGTATAAGGTAGATTAACCCTAACATTTGGAATTGGAAAATTTGTGTGTCTTTTTTACATATTTTGCAAATTAATCCAAAAATGTTACAGTGCATTCATTATTTTTATCATTTTTTAATCTTTTCCTAAGCCAGTATTAGTTATTCTTTAGCTCAATTGCATTTGAATAACCCTGGCAATCAAATTCTCAAAATTCAAAATTCATCAAATTACTTAGTTGCTCATATCCGTAAATCGAATATGGGAATACAAAAATGGAACATTGCAATTCGATTTCGGAAAAGTAAGGAAAATCAATTTTCGGAAGAAAATACTTTCGAAGCGAATTCATTGTTCCCTCAATAAATTAACAAATCTTTTGTAATTTGTTTTCATTTGTATTAAAGCCTGTTCTTTTGCCAAAAAATCAAGCTATCAACGATGAAAATCGATAGATAAATAAACAGGTTTTGAATGGCCAAATGAAAATGTGCAATTATTTTCTTATGAATTAGGAGCAGGAAATAATGTCATACGCCATACCGTACATACGTGGCCGTACTCTTACATACATGGCTATGAGCAACATTTTGCATGTTAAAGCTTGAAAAGAATATCTTTTCGCACTGCAAACTTAAAATAAAAATATCTTGGGAAAATGACCTCATCTATAAAAACCGGTTTGCGTGTCTCGCCAAAAATGGAATAAAACTAATACAATTACGTATGGCTTTCATTTAAAAGACAATTGTATGGAACACATGTCACGTTTGGCAGTCAACACTTTAAAGTAGCGAAGGACTTTGTCTACCTAGGATCCAGCATAAACACCAACAATAATGCCAGTCTGGGAATAAAGCGAAGAATTACTCTTGCCAACAAGAGCTACTTTGGGCAAACGAAAAGCAGGCGCCCTCTCTCGACAAACAATAATCATCAAATCTGACAACATACCCGTCATTTTATACGGCGCAGAAACATGGATGATGTAACAAATATCCCTTGGGTGGAAGGACCAAGTGCAGAAAAATCTGTCTGTACTTGAGATGAGCAACTGGCGCAAATCGACAAACGCTTGTTCAAAGTTAATCGTATTTGGATTAATAATAATATAATAGATTGGCGCTTACACATATGTTAGTGTTTGGCCGAGCTTCTCCTCCGACTTGTGGCGTGCGCCTTGATGTTGTCACACAAAGCGGAGGAACCTACGGTTTTATGCCGACTCCGAACGGCGATGGTATTTTTATGAGAAGCTGTTTTTCATGGCAGAAATATACTCGGAGGTTTGCCATTGCCTGCCGAGGGACGACCGCTGTTAAGAAATACTCTTTTTTCTATATTTTTTTGCGATGTTGCTTTGACCAGGGCTTGAACCCAGGTGCTGATGAGTGGAAGCGCGCACTGCTTACCACTACACCACAGCGGCCACACCACAAGGGATTAATAGTCAAGCAAAAATTGGATCTAGTAAATATTTAAAACATCTGGAACCAACTGATTTTTTCTTAGTTGTTAAAAACCGAAACCTTGCCTTTTAATATGTAATTATTAAATTATATATTTCAATCAATCGTTTTCAGAAATATCTCTCTGTTTATAATACTTTTTAACCGATTTCATAACAGGGAGGACGTTATCAATTCGTCAAAAATTCTTTTTTATGTACATATGTTACCGCATAAATTTGGACGACGTTAACCAATTTCTATAATTCTTTAATTTTAAAGAGAAAGGTGGTACCTCAGTGGTGGTCCCATACTAATTTGGTTTAGATCCGTTCGTTGGATCATGTGGAAATTAACGGTACTCTTAAATTTTTATATGAGAATTAAAGTCGGTTTTGTTTTTTGCTTAAAAATTACTTGTAATTAAATTATACAGTGCCTCAGAAAATGTGTTTTTACGAAATATTACTTTTTCTTGGCTTTTTAACATAGCTTTTTTTGACGAAGTTTTATTCAATTTGTTTAAAAAATGCTCATTTAATTGCACTTCATGTATATCGCATTTAAACAAAAAGAAAAGCGACATTAAGAAAAGACTGCGGTAAATCTGCATATATTATAAACGCATGTCTAATAAATTTTGTCTATACAGCTTCTCTGTTTTTGCTTAAGTGTATTAAAGCGTATTCTTTAAATGAAAATACAGCCAAACCAAATGTTATGTAGTAGATTTCAAAGCACATTGATTTATTCAATTGGAAACACATACGTATACCAAAAAATAATTTTTGAAGAAAAACATGACGTACTATTTATGTAAGAGCAAGATTGGTAAAAAATTCAACAAAATAAACAAAATAATGAATTTACAGTGAATTCTAAGACGGAATTGTATTAATATTCTAGATGAAAAAACCCAGACTTTTTAATAAATTTACGGGTTTTAAGCCTAAGATGAGATAATAAGAAAATGTTATTTGTTGATTACGTACCTACAGTTGTAATTGATTACATCCTCTCGCAGTTTTTCACTTAGTTCACCAAGTATACATTCTTCGTCAAAAAATTTTCCTTGATATCGATGCTCAAAATACTCGGTAATCCTTTGGCGCATGTCACGCGGAAGCTTCCGATAGGCCATGTACTCCTCTACCTGTTTCACCTTTTCACGATATTGCCGTCTGCTAGAATCCAAGCTTTGGATCAAATTGGTCGCATGGCCCAAGAACAATGCATAACAAGTAGCACCTGATATCATCGATAGCATCGTCAGCCACATATCTGTCAATGACTGCGGCGGGAATCTGCAATTAACAGTATGTATGTATGTACACTGCTTAAAGATGACAAAGAAAATCCTACCTGCCGTAACCTATACAAAGCATATGAGACATCGCCTTAAATAAAGCCCATGAATACTGTTCAAGCCAATATGACTCCTGAAAATCATGTATGTATATTAAATTATTTGAAACTAAAACACAGGATAGTTTCCTAATTTCCAGTCACCTGTAATTCGTTAATGGATACCCATGAGTTTGATGGAAAACCTTGTAGCATTGGCACTAAAAACTGCAAACAACCACTCCAGTGGCCGATAAGAAGCATCATGCATATCAGATTGAAGATCCTCATAAAGACTGATGCCATATTGAGGAACTAAAAAGATATCCATCAATGCAAAACTATTTATAAGCGATGCATATTTCATTACAACAACGAAAACGAGTGTGAAATGTGAAAGTACAAGAGTTGAACACAGTAATACGACTGAACACAAAAAAAACATTCTAAAAATGTTAAGCTCAAATACTAACAAAATATTTCACGCAGTAATTAGTGACATACACTTCATATGTATGTATGTTATACTTATTACTTCATAAATATTAATATTAACAGTATAGATTTAGACTTTGAGCAAAACATCGGTAGTTATCATAACAAACAATTTTGTCATATACATACATATCTACTTATTAAATAGGTTGCTGCAATTGAACATCGAGCACCTAGCTTTATAAACAATTTCATTAGTTCACATTGATCATATACATATGATAATAGCACAGTTAAATATAAATAAAAGAATGTGGCCCTTTTTAGAGCTAGAAAGCACTGCAATAATCGCTCATAATAAAATAATTGCTAATAATTATTTCTAGACTAAAAATCCTATTTATGTAATTTAAGCAAATTATAGTAAAACTATAGTTATATGCAATATATATATATACATATGTACCTCTTGATATATATGTAACAATATATACATGTAATCTTAATATGGAAATCGCTATTTAACATTTTTTTTTCTCTAAGAAATGGTTTGAAACTTTATAAAAGCATAAGCCCTTTAGTTACGAAATTTGTTCAAAATACTGGTTTTTAATAAACACTGGAACTAATTTATTGATCTAGTAAATGCTTCTACATTCTATTAGGTCCGTAGTGAGTAATCCACCGACTTTTATACAAAGTAGTGTTCTGAAAGAAAATGATTTAGGACCTTTTTCTATTACGGTAACGATATGCATAATAAAGCTTTGCACATTGCACTCCATTAAAATAAGAAATCGTAAAACAAGTGCTAAAATATTCGACGTACGTATTTGATCAGAGGAATTAGTTGTGGGATTATAAAGGGATGTTACGAATGTTATATATTTCACAACCGCTAGTGGGAATGAAACTTACAAAGGAGCCCGACATTTTCTGTCTAGAAAAATAAAAGCACGTTTTGAAAGTCTCGATTATACATATTATATTTATATTCCATAAATTTGTTGAAAAATGTATATTTATGTCCTTTTATTATCTACGAAGTTATAATATTTCTATTTACATTCTTTTCAAATTTCAGAACGCATGTTGACTAAAACAAGAAAAACTATTATACGTATTTATTTGATCTGAATAGCATAAAAAGTTCTCTGTTTAGACGAAGTTTTTTAACGAAAAAATCGTACTCCACATACTACGAAATCAGCACTATTTATTGCATTTATTCCCAGTGGGAAAATGTAATGTATACATAGTAATCGAAAAATAATCAGTGAAACAACCCTTTTCACATTTGAAAATGCATTCAATTTTACATTACCTAGTATCGAGAAATTAACGTGATTTAATATGAAATTTTTGGGACTTTTTGAATACATTAGAATGTTGATTACAACTTAACCATTTCCATTTGAAGATGCCCATTAAAACCATGCGTTTGCATGAGATTCTGAGCCCTAGTGATTACATTTGGCAACACATATCGAGTTATGCGTAGAGTTCTACAAGAAACTAAGTTTTAAGAAGAGTATGTTAACTACGTAATGCAACCACTAACGAAAGACTTTCAATTAAATGCACAACATTATAACTTTTTTCTTAACTTTTTGAAATTTTAAATAATTGTTTATCGTATATTTTAGAGCCTTAGCCAAATAATGCCCTAATGTTAGTCTATATACATATGTACATGATAGTCAAACTATTAGAAGGTATTTCTCCAGCTCATCTTATTTTTTTACAGTGTGTTACGGGGTATAGTCGTTGCGCTGGGTATGCAGTAACAGTTGCATGGCTATACTCAATCCCGACTCTTGCGACCGTTCGCGCACTCTGGGCAACGTGAGCAACTCATGTGCGAGATGCGGTAACCAATCCGAGTGGAGCCTTGGGTCACGGCAGAAGGAGAGGGAGCTTCAGCGGGGCCACTCCGACTTAATCGGTTTAAGGGCTCACTGAAGTCTGCAGCGTCTGTTCACCAGTAGGTGCGGCTGCAAGTGGGTGTCTGCTTGGAGTAAGCGGCTATATAAACATGTATTTGGTTGCGAAACCATCCCCGTCCCAGCAATGGGTTGTGCGCTGGGTTTGGGACCCGCCACGTAAAAACCACTTCCAGTGAAGAAGCAAGGCAAAGCCTCGGATAAGACCCCCCCTTATGATGACGACCACAGCAAACGTTTAAAGGACTACGATTTGTGGGCATGCACCTGGAATGTCCGGACCCTTAATGGGGAAGGTGCCTCTGCCCCGCTAGTTGATGTCCTCGTAAGGACAAAATCTGCCATCACCGCCATCCCAGAAATGCGTTGGAAGGGGCAAGGCAAGCAATGGCTGGAGCCTTGCGACGTCTACTACAGCTGCCATGTAAACCAGCGCAAATTCGGAGTTGGATTTGTGGTGGGAGAGACTCCGTCGCCGAGTACTGTCGTTCACCCCGGTGGACGAGCGTCTAGCCACAATCCGCATCAAAAAGAGATTCTTCAACATTTCGCTCATCTGCGCCCATGCCCCGACGGAAGACAAGGATCAGGCATCCAAGGACCTCTTCTATGAGCGCTTGGAGTGCACGTACGGGCGCTACCCCCGTCATGATATCAAACTCGTGCTTGGCGACTTCAATGCCAGGGTGGGCAAGGAAGGGATCTTTGGAACCACCGTCGGAAAATTCAGCCTCCACGACGAAACGTCCGACAACGGATTGAGGCTGATCGACTTCGCCGGGGCCCTAAACTTGGTAGTATGCAGTGCTAGGTTCAAGCATAAAAATGTCCATCAAGCTACGTGGCTGTCTCCTGATCGAAAAACGAGAAACCAAATCGATCATGTTGTGATAGACGGAAGGCACGCTTCCAGTGTTTTAGACGTACGCACACTCCGAGGCCCACACATCGACTCGGACCACTATCTTGTTGCAGCCAAGATACGCACCCGCCTCTGTGCAGCAAAAAATGTGCGCCCAAATATGCAAGGAAAGCTTAACGTCGAAAAGCTGCAATCACAACAGACAGCCAGCTTCGCTTCTCGACTCTCACACCTGCTCTCAGAGTGCACTCTTCAACAAACCGACATATGCGAGCAGTGGAACCACATTTCCCGCTCATTAAGTACCGCCGCCGAAGAAGTAGTCGGATTTCAGCGAGCACGAAAGAACAACTGGTACGATGAGGAGTGTAAGGAAGCTGCAGAGAAAAAAGATGCTGCCTACAGGGCCACGCTGTGATCGGGCGCAACGCGCGCTATATGGGACCGCTATAGGTATCTGAAGAGGGACGCGAGACGTATTTGCCGCAATAAGAAGAGAGAGGCCGAAATACGTGAGTGCGAAGAGCTTGAAATGCTGGCCGACAGGAAGAATGCCCAAAAATTTTACCAGAGAGTTAGGCGACTTACGGCAGGTTTCAAGACCAGGGCGTACTCCTGTAAGAACCAAAATGGCGACCTAGTAACCGATGTCCAAAGCGTACTTAAGTTATGGAGGGAACACTTTTCCGCCTTACTAAATGGTAGCAGCACGGAAAGTTGTGGAGAAGAAGAACCCGAGCCCGCCGTCGATGATGACGGAGTCGACGTTCCACCGCCTGACTATGACGAGGTACGTATAGCAATAACGCGGCTGAAAAACAACAAAGCTGCTGGAGCTGACAGCCTGCCAGCTGAGCTATTCAAGTACGGCGGCGAGGAGTTGATAAGGTGCATGCATCAACTCTTGTGCAGAATATGGTCAGATGAACGCATGCCCGACAACTGGAATTTAAGTGTGTTCTGCCCTATCCACAAGAAAGGTGACCCCGCCATTCGCGCCAACTACCGCGGGATCAGCCTTCTAAGCATAGGTTACAAGGTCTTATCGAGCGTACTGAAGCCCACCGTCAATGAACTGATTGGGCCTTATCAGTGTGGCTTTAGACCTGCCAAATCCACCATAGACCAGGTATTCACAATACGCCAAATCTTGGAAAAGACCCTCGAGAAAAGGATCGAAACTCACTACTATTTGTCAACTTTAAAGCCCCCTCAAACGGCTGTGTAAAATGACGTTGAGCAATACCACCAGCTCCGTCAGAATTCGGAAAGACCTCTCCGAGCCGTTCGTCACCAAACGGGGTTTCAGACAGGGCGACTCCCTTTCATGTGACTTCTTTAATCTGATGTTGAAGAAGATAATATGAGTTACTGAACGCAACTGCTCAGGAACAATTTGCTACAAGAGCGTGCAATTGCTGGCTTATGCCGATGACATCGACATCATTGGTAATAAAAACCGCAAAGTCTGTTCTGCCTTTTCCAAGTTGGATAAGGAAGCAAAGCGAATGGGTCTGGTGGTAAACGAGGACAAGGCGAAGTATCTCCTGTCATCAAACAAACAGTCAGCACATTCGCGCCTTGGCACCCACGTCACTGTTGACAGTTACAATTTCGAGAAAGTAGAGAATTTCGTTTACTTGGGAACCAGCATTAACACCGATAATAATGTCAGCATTGAAATCCAACGCAGAATCACTCTTGCCAACAAGTGCTACTTTGGACTGAGTAGGCAATTCAGGAGTAAAGTCCTCTCTCGACGTACGAAAGCCACGCTCTATAAGTCACTCATCATGCCCATGCTGGTATATGGCGCAGAAGCATGGACAATGACAACATCCGATGAGGCGGCTCTTCGAGTGTTCGAGAGAAAGATTTTGCGGAACATTTACGGGTCTTTACGCGTTGGCGACGGCGAGTATCGCAGACGATGGAAAGATGAGCTGTATGAGCTCTACAACGACATGGATATAGTGCAGAGAATTAAAATACAGCGGCTCCGCTGGCTTGGCCAAGTCATTCGAATGGACACTGACGCTCCAGCTCTGAAAGTATTCAACTCGGAACCCACTGGT